AAGAAGAAAATTGCCTAAAAAGGAAATTTTCTGAAAAAAAGGATCTACAGGAAAGAGTTTTTTTTTTTTTTTTTTTTGAAAACACTTATTTATTAGAATTATTATCTATAGTTTATTCCTATAAATTATTTTAAAAAATAACAAATTGTTAAATTATTATATTGAAAAAGAAAAAAGAAAACCAATTCAATATACTTTAAAAAATATAATTTAAATAAATAACTTTTCCTTAAAAGTAATTTGCTTAATTAAAATGTTCTTTAAACTTTAAATTAGTGAAAAAACTTAATTATTTTTAAGTATAAAAACTTAAAAAAAAAATATTTAAATAATTTATTTTTTTACTCATAATTAATTTTAAAAGTTTAAGTTTTCTTACTATGTTTTTATTATAAATTTCAATTTTGACAATTTTTAAATCTTTAATTATATAATTAAAAATTATAAAATTTATATATGTTATATTTTAATATTAGTTTTATTTATTATAATTTTTTAAAAAAATTTTTATATATGTTAAAATTTCTTTTTTTATTAAAATTTTACTGAAATAATTTTAATTAACTATTATCTTAAATTACATAATAATTAATTTAACAATAATAAAACTTTAAAAAAATTTTATAAAAATTTTTTTTATATTTTGTAAATTTTTGATTATATAATTAAAGATTTAAAAATTATTAAAGTTAAAATTTATAATAAAACATAGTAATTAAATTCAAATTTTTGAAAGCAACTGTATATAGATTTGCTTATTATATTACTGATTCCAATACTATATTATAGTAGAGTTAGTTTAATCAGAATAAAAAAATTTATATAGAAACTTTTTCAAAAAGAAATATAAAAAATTTATTTATATTTTAAATAGATAAAGTTTTTTTATTATCTGAAAAACTTATTGAAAAATAAAAATATTATATTTTATACTCTTTACTTATTTTTTGATATCATAATTATTTTTTTAAATAACTTGCTTAATTGAAAAGTAATTTTTTTTAATATTTCTTTTTTATTATTAATAATATTATCAAATTATGTTATTATTATTAATAAAAACTGATTATATTTAATAAACTAATATATTTTATATTAAAAAATTCTTAAAATTTTTATTATTAATTTTTTTAGATATCCCCCTTTTTTTAAAAAAAATTCTTTGTCAGGTTAATTATAATTTTTTTAGATATCCTTTTATTATTGGTAATAAAGGTATTATTTAATTTTTTTTTTTTTATTATCAAAAGTTAAGTTTTTGGTTAAAGGAAATTATAACATGTAAAAAAATATATTAACAATTCATAAAAAATACTTTTTAAGTTGTTTTACAAACAATAATAAGACTTTATTAATCAAGAAATTCAAAAACCTTTGATGAATATTATCTTTTTTGTATGTAATTAAAGAATTAATAAAAAGAGTTTTTTCTTATATATAAAAGTTAAATAAATTATATATTATATTTTTAAATATTTATTTATTTATATATTATATTGATTAATAAATTTACAGTCTAATTATAAATTATATACAGTATAAAAATATTAGATTACCTTAATTATTTTTGTTAATTAATAAATAAATTTAATTAAACTATTAAAAAATATATATATGAGTTTATTGAATTAATTTGGATTAAACAAAATCAAGTTTAAATAAATATTTTGAATTTAATATAAATAAATACTTTTTATTTTTTTATTATTTATTGTATTAAACCTTTTAGATTGAAAATTATTATTTACTAATTATTTTAAAATTAATAAGTTTTGAGGTTAAATATATTAGAAATAATAATTATAATAATTTATTATTTTTTCAAAAAAATTTTATTTATATTTATTGATTTTCTTTTGAAAGTAATAATTGATTAAATAATTTTCTTGATTTTAATTATTTAAAAATTTTAACTATTTTAGGTTTAAATATTTTTGATAACTATTTCAAAGAATTTATTCTTTTATTAATATATAAATTTATTTATTGTACTTTTTGTATTAGCATTATATTATAAAAAATTTTATTTAAATAAAATAATTAAAAAGTTTATTTTAAAAAAAATTGTTTTTATAATATTATCATTCTTTTACTGTTAAGACTCATTTGATTAAAAAGTTATTTTCAAAAAAAATTGTTTTTTTATTGATAATATTGTTTATAAAATTTTTTTAATTATCAAAACTTGTTTATTGATAAGTAATTTGTTCTGTGTTAATCAAATATTTTTAGTGAGAATTATATTATTTAAAAATAAATTTAAAATCAATAAATTAATAAATAAAAATTATAAATATATACATATACAGTATAATATGATAAAAAGTTTATAAATAAGAAAAAAGAAAGAGGTATTAACAATTTTTGAGGATGTTTGAAAATAGTATTAAAATTTTATTGCTCAAAAAATTATAAATATTCATATAAGTGTATTTTTTATATGCAGCTAAATAATTAATAAAAAAAGTTTCATTAATTATTTATACAGTATAATGTATAGCATATAATAAATAAATAAATACAGTAAGATAAAAATATGTGAAGTTAAATATTTCGATTATATTATATAACTTGATATTTAAATAATTTACAATAAAATAGAAAAACTTTCGAATTTAACTGTATATTAAATCATTATTATTTTTAACCAATTAAAAATAATTTCCGTGTTTCCTATAAATACAGTATATGCAAAATAAAGGCTACACTTTAATTATACATAATCAAAGACGTTTTTATGCAGCTCCACTTGATCAAGGAATTGAATATAAAACAATACAAAATTTGCCATTTGAAAAGGAGCCCATTGAGTTCAAAGACAATTAATTAACTAATTCACATCATTTAGAGCCCGAAAACTCCGTTGAGCCGAGCATTTTTTGCTCTCGCGACGGAAGACATATTCCCACGCTAAGATACACTGTGACGTCATAAAGTTTGATTTAGGCATTATATTTTGATGCTAGTTGCGCTATTTAACTGTCAAATATACTGTATGTATAAAATATTTTTTAAACGGGGATGGTGGTTTCTTCATGTGATTACTGCCTTTTAAGTTAGTGCAGTGCATAACTGCGGGTTACATAATCATTCCAGCATTGTTTTATGACCATCTTTCACTCTCGTTCTTAAATTTTCTATTCACGTTCTATATAGAAACTCGTATAATCTCTCTTTTCGAATTCACTATTGCTAATTCTCACACCATGAACACTATACGTAATGAGGTTTTATAGTTGTTCAATCGGAGAATTCAGTTTACTGCGTATATTCATACAGTAGTAAAAACGACTTTATTATAAGCACTGTACATGGCATTTAATATATATATATTTCTTTCTTTCTTTTTTTTTTTTTTATAAAAAAAAAAAGAAAAACATCAAAGAAACGAAAAGTTTCTAATTTAGCAATCTCCGACAATATCTTCTAATGTGACCTCGTATGAAAAATGTGTTTCGGTGGTTCCATCGTGGGGAAGGTATATTCCATCCATACCCTCGAAATTAACATACGGGTAGTGAATCGGATCGTAGAATTCTCTACTTGACAATTCTTGAGTTATGATTCCAGAGAATAGGTTGGTTGTATTCAAGGTCGAATTATTTGATTTGGAGATCTCTTTCAGAAAATCGTACCATTTTTTATACTGCGCACAAAGATGATAGTGTTTTCCATTCAAAATCATCTTGTATTTTTCATTCTCCTTAAAGTTTGGATCATATTCAAATACTAAAAAATGTGGGTCATCAAAATTGACCCTATATTTTTCACTCATTATCTCGTGAATCTGAAAGTAAATTAGCTGTTCTTCGTGCGGCAGGTCGTTCCATTCTTTACTCGTGACATCTGAATGATCCGCCATTTTTATTGGATTCTTGCAATCTTGACGTTCAAGTAGCTTAATAGCTCTGAAAATGAGGTAACCGTTACCTGGTTTTTTCATTTTGCGAAAGAAATGATAAAACGAAAGTTTAAGAAATATCTGGTCGGAAAATTTGTTATTATAAAAATAAGCGATGAGAACAGACGGTGAACGTCAATGTATTTATAATCAATCGGAGTTTTCATTCTGGCAAGAAAAAGGAGAATTTTCACATTGTAATGCATGCATTGTGAACATGACGCTCGCACGTTACTTTATGATGATATGTTTTTTTTTAAAAAAAAAAAAGAAAGAAAGAAAAAAGGATTTTTATCTGCACATCAACGATTCATACATCGACCTGCCAAATAGCTTTATCTTTAAATTATTTATCGAGTTAAAAATGTTATCCTCATTGTTCGTCTTGCTCTGTTCTCCAAAAAGGGAATCTTCAAACTTAGGTCACGTGGAATGCACTGATTCGTAGAAAACCCTCGGTTGTTTAATTACTTTATCGGGTTATATTCATAATTCAAAAAAGGGTACATGCGTTACCATATTTTCGTGCATATTCAGAAATTTTCGATCAAATTTTTGACCCCTTTCTCTTCGCTATTATAGAGCGATAAACGAATTCCAATGCGTACGGGTTAATCTTTTTTTTTTTTTTTTTAGCTCAAAACTTTATATCACGAGTTTTCGCATACGAACGGAATTTTTTTTCCGTACCAACACCAGCCCGACGTAAGAAAAGCTTTGCAGTTTCTTGTCTTTCTTGTTTTTTTTTTTTTTTTCCCACTTATTGTTACTGTTATTATTATTATTATATATGTGCAACACGCACACACCCACACATATGGTTACATTAAAAAGACACTTATTTTTTTTTTCCCTATTGTTTGCCATATAATCGCGTAACAGAATTCTTGAAATGGTATTCTTCCAAAAACAATTTGTCTAATTCTTTGTTCATTTTATTGCATGAATGTTGTGCCTCCGTAACAGGTTCATATGATCAATGCAGTGAATGATCCGGAGTTAAGTTGCGACTTGCTTATCTTGGTGGCAAAAAAAGAACAAGGACAAGTTCATTAACCCTGAAAAATAAAGATCTAATCGATAAGTAGATACTTTCCGCATTACGTTACGTAGAGATTAAGATTTCTTCCGGTGCAAGGCTGTGGCCGCAGGCATGCAGGTATCTTTTGGACTCAGGATATGAAAAGAAGGTGAACCTTATTTTATTTAACCATATTAGCCATTATTGTACTAAAGAAAAAAAAAAAGAAAAAAAAATTACGACAAAATTTAAATTTTGAGATACGAACAATCGACTATCAAAGGTGCGACTGTGCTTGTTCACGTGATATATTCAAATAACCTTAGGACGAAGTGGAGTTGGAAATAATAACGCGTAATTAAGACACTATGAGAGTAAACGAATGGCGAGAAGTTGCGTCTGAAATTTGAATAACGGGTTGGATACGATTCCCATCTAAGATCCTTTTCAGCTCATCTCATATTTATTGTGTCTTTTCTCCTTTTGTATTCATTCTATACTGGGAAGGTATTCACGTTGTTTTGAGGATAAAGCTCAGAGTGAAAAGAAGACTCTTCGAAGAAAGTTTCAGGTGATTCTTTTGCACGAAAAAGTTTTTTTTTTTTTTTTTAATGCATAAATATTTTGCATGCTGACATGCGCCTGTATTATTATTTTTAAAGTATCGCGATAAATTGAGTTTTGGGCTCTAATTATTCGTGCCTTAAATGGAAACGCACGCGCAGATGTAGACTAAGTGCCGCAAGATAATAATGCGCGAGAATCAATTGAAGATGATTTCTGTCAATCGATTGCTCTTAAATTTGCGTTTGCTTTGATATTTCCATTAATTCTGGATCGGAATCCGATATCTTGCAACTAAATGTTAAAGGGTGAAACGAAATTTGACGCGAAATTATGGTGATCAGGCGACAATACACCAAAAATTTGGTAATTTCCACTTTTACTGTGGTGATGATGTTCCAAGAATCATCCTGTCTGTGCTGGCTGCGGGAAATGTATGAACGTTATTTAGAGAAATCAGCATCCCAAATTGGCTTCCAAAATTAATTAACCAACCTGATATGGGATACAAGTCGTAATAATTTTTGTTTTTTTTTTTTTTTTTTTTTTTTTTTAGTGTGCAGTCGAAAAGAGAATTCCATTAAACAAGGAGGCCTCTGGTTCTTATCATTCCTATGCAGCACACTGCAACTACATGTCTTTAAAACCTTATTTAATTTATAGTCGTGTTTAATTTTAATCTGTACACCCTGATTTATCACTAATTTGAAATCTATCGTTCGCGCCCGTTACTCCAATTCATTGTATTGTCGCATCGGACTTAAGCTCCGTTTCCCGTTTATTTTATGTAAACGAGCTACATGACGACATCATTATGCCGTGTAACGTATAAATAATTTTTGTTTTTGTTTTTTTTTTTTTGATTTGATTTTTTAGACGAACCCAATTTAATCCACTATTATTATCGCTTGCATGATTATCTTTTCTTCTTTAGATTTACCCTATCGGAATCGTCTTTGATCACCTTCCATAAGGAAGTAATAAGAATAAAGGCACATCCCAACGACCTGCAGTTTTTCAACGTTCCTGAAAAAGGGAAAAAATAGTATATACAGTATATATATAAAGACGGACCTTTACCCTTTAAACATCGATTTCACGACTCGATTATGGTGCTCAAATTTGTTTGCGAGGATCCTCGGGCTGCTTCCAGACCAGTTAAACGAAGACAGTCGGCCAATTCCTTTATTTGCTACCGTAATCATCTTCAATCGAACAATCCTGGTCAACCCGCGACTCAGATCTCTACGTTAGCATCCGATTCGTGGAGTACTATGGATGCCGAAATGAAAAGGCATTGGGATGAAAATTCGATAAAAAAAAAGCATGGGAAAAGTATCCTCATTAACGATATTGGCATGGAGAATGCAAGAAACGTCGTTGAATTGGTAGAAGAACACGGCAATTACTTATTCGTCAACACAGTAATCTCCTGCCACTCGGCACACGGCATGAAAGAGAAAATCACATCTGATTCCGAAGAGATAGAAGAACTTTTGTATAAGGAAATTGAGCAAACGCTTGCTTCGGCCGGGTCCTTAGGATTTAACAACTTCTAATGGCGAGATGCGATTTTGTCCTTGAGATAATTTCTTTTTCTCAATGAGCCTACATTCGGCGCAATGTCTACTTTATAGGTACCAATTTCCTCTTTAATTAAGACTGAGCCGTTGACCTGCTCCTTGGCTACATGTTAAAATCCGTTTAAAAAAAAAAAATAATAATTAGACATGTGATAACAACGAATACAGGGTGGGGTGTGCGTATTGCGCATGTATTGCACAAAATATAACTGGCAGCAATGATATTATGATACCATATCATCTACCATTTATAATTTGACGTGCATTTAAAACGTCCTCATAAGAATGTAAAAATATGGTTGGTTTTTTTTTTTTAAGGATATTTAGATTTAAATTGTTCTCTATTTTTGTATTCAGTATTTACAGAAATTCTCATCATTATTTATGTGTAACGTTATTTTAAATTATGTCGTCAGATTATAAGGAAATCAAGAAAAATAAAGTAAAACAAGACAAGAAAATCATCATTTTTAAAAGTTAGAACATATCTTACCATAATTAATTTCGTTGTGTCGAGAAAAAACCCTGCGAAAAGATGCAACCTAAAACAAAAAATCGGAGTCAATGAAGTGTCACGTTCAATTCGCAGGCAGAATATAATCCCTACGGGAAGAAAAAAGAAAAAAGAAAAAAGAAAAAAAAAATTCTCCACATTAATTAAAGCTGGAGATCTAATGCGTGTACCGAAAATTTTGTCAAGCGGTGACTACGAGAAACAATAAATACCCTTTTTGCTTTTAAACAATCATTATTCTCGAGATTTTATTGAATAGAGTATAAAGGTCGTTATTACAATCGCTACAATCGTTATAATGCTTCGCACCATCCAATCTTATACATATTTATATACTGTATGTGTGTATAGAAGAAACCGCCAGTGGTATAGTGTGATCTCGAATTGCGAAAAAAAATATCACTAAAAAAAAAAATACGAATAGCACGTAATTTGTATTTTGTATTTAATTCCATCCCCTATCGCCTTCAATTAACATCTCAGGCAAGCTTGGCTGTTTTTGAATTTGCGAAGTGTCAAATGAGAACGAATTCCCTTGAATAAATTCAGTATGCCGTTCCTGAAGAGTCATCGATTGCGGGGATATCTGCGGGGATTGCTGTTGCTGATGTTGTTGATGTGGGATAATGGTTTGTTGATTATTATTGTTCATGTTTAAAATCAAGTTTTAAGCAGTTTCAATGATTCGGTGTGACAAAAATTGTTGACTTGTGTAAAACGTATTTGTGCAAAATTAATGCATTGGTCTGGGAAACTTAAAGCCTTTTATGAACAATTTTAACATGCCCAAACGTGCAAAATACAATCAGGTTCTACGCGTCTTCAGGGTACTAGCATTTGGATCGGGTTCGTTCAAAAGGCAACGCAAAACAATTATAATATGCGATATGATGTTAATTCTTTTTCGGCGCCTTTCGTAAAATGGTATAGAATAAAAAAGTGGTTGTCCTTTATTTTATCGGACTAATTCCTCCGAGAAACTACTCAATTAGCGCTGATGATTACGTATAGTTAAAATTAAAAGAAATATTTTCTTATGTCTTCTCTTAAAATAT